TATCCTTTATTTTTGCGCCTAAATAATTTATCGCGCCGGCGGGGATCGATATTGTGGCGAATTGCTTCTTACTGCTGCGTGCTTGCTGCAAACCAACACACATTATTGTTATGTACAGCTATTGGCGCAGAGCGAGGGAGAGAGAGCAGATCGCCTCCCTGCGCTTGGCCCACAATGCAGCACAATCCTTATTGTCTGACAAGCTTTGCGAGTCTGTGCAAATGTGAGCGGCTCGTGGTTTAACGAAATTAACCGACATTCCTAGCCAAAAACTCTGGCTACGGAGCTTGCGAATTTCACCCATTCCATGTGGACTCGAGTGGAAAAGCTTTGATTTGGGTTGTTGAAACTGATATCACGGGCTGCTGACTTTTAGTGACTCTAATTGCATGACAAACAAATGATTCAAATTGTTCCGATAAGCGCTGCTTCTGTTCTTTTTTTCACAAACAGAACGTTGGTAGGGTATTTAAAGGCTTAGAATGTACAAAACCTGAAAGTGACATTAAAATTATCCTTATGAAATTTCAAAGCACTAAAACAATTTAATAAAAATTGAAAAACTTATTTTTGTAACAAAAATTAACTTTATAAGCAAATCGATTTGAATGAGCATCTTAAATATTTTGAGATCATTTTATTGATCTGGAAATTTTATAATTGTTTCATTTTAATGCTAATTATCAGTGGAAAAAAAAACTGTTTTATATGGGAGCTTATTTTCAGATTTTACATAGAATTTGAATTTACTTAAATAGGGTTTCAATATTTTTTATATCAAATATCTACCAGTTAATTAATGTTTCTTTTGACGGGTTTTAGAGATCAATTTCTGTACAAAAAGGAATCAAAGCTTTTGCGTCCAAGGAATGTACCGTGGAATGCGATCAAATTGCACAGACGACCAGACGCTCTATTCAGCAGTTCAAATGGAATGTTAACCGAGCAGAAGGGATTCAACGGATCATTACGGAATGATGGTAAACCCACTACCATTACTCACAACATTTTTTTCCTTCTCTAAACGCCAGAATTAATGAGGTTTTAAGTGAGCAAATAATTTAAACTGTGTGTATATTTGTCCGAAATAAATGTTTGTCGACAATTAGTTCAAGCCACAAACTCAAATGTTTGCCATGGTTGATAAAAGTTTACGGGTCATTTCCTCTTAAAACTTTCCGCCTTTTTACCGCTTCGGGAATAAAGAGACCGAAAGTAAGTTTGGCTCGAGTTACACAAACTTCCAATTCCCTCGTGATGGCGAAAACGCGTCCGACTATGCGACGGCACGTGCCATTTTAATCTCAACGGAAAGCGCAAACTTCATTTCATCAAAATTTCAACATCCGAAGGCTTTTCCATTCTCGTTGAATTATAAATTGAAATTAAAGTTGAATCCCATGTTGGAAATTATTGATCTATGTGGAGAGACTCGCCGGGCATGAGTGATAATCTGCCGGTCAATCCAAGTCGCTCTACTTGTGTGTAAGTCATGTTGCTGCCAAATATATATAGCGGGGAATGTGTTTCGCGTGCTGACAAAGCGGCCGAGAGAGCGCCGCGGCCAGATTGGCTCTCTGGAAAGCACAGTGGAGCCCCAATAAATCACTCTTTTTCAACGGGCTTTGTTAATCGCCAGCTCCCTTTTTCTCTCTCTCTCGCGCACAAAATATGATTCCCGGGATGAATTATGAGTTTAACAGACCGAAATATTAAGCCACTTTTCTCTCTGCCAAATGCCGCTATTCTGTCCCCGCGCCAAATGTTAATTACACCGCCGCGTGCCGTTTTTCGCTCTCTCTCTGCACGCGGCCGTTTTTCACATGACGTTTTTAATGAAAAACTCTCTACGCCCAGATAATTGATTTCAACGTGATTTCAATTGGAGATACTGTGCCATTTGCCCATTTTTTTGCATAAATGGTAAATCAAATGTGAGGAAAAAAGTAATGGAAATTTTAATTGGATTTCATATAATTAACGTGCAGACGGAAAATTTTGAAGACCTGCCAAAAATGCTCGATTCGATGCAAATGACCCGAAGAAATATTATCAAAGAAGTATAATTAAACGTGAATTCAACCCAAATTTGAAATTCAAAGCTCTAAAATATCCAAAATGAGCCCATATTTATGAAAATTTAAAGTTTCATTTTTTCGTTCTTTAAAATTACCCAGATTCTTGCCACAAAGTAAAATAAAATATTAAAATTTATGGTACTTGATTTACTTAATTCTTTTTTATTTGAAACCACTTCAAAGTGGAAGTTTTATTTTGATCAATTTCTAGTTTTCTTTAATTATAGATTGGGCGTATTTGCATCTATTTTGAAGTTATATTCTGCTGTCATTTTTTGGTTTAAGACTTATTTACTAAAATCCTGACGGAACGTTTAATTTTGTAAAATTCCAGGCCTTGATTCAATTTCAAAACCTTCCGCTTTCAAATTCCAACGGAGACATGGCTTTTCCATCAAGACGAAAATAATGCAACGGAAATTTACTTCCCCCGAGGGAAACTGGCAATTTGGCGCGCAGCGGTAAAATAAAAGCGGCGATAAATCGCGCGAAGTATGACAAGACGTCACACACGCGGGTTGACAGGCGCGACAGAGCCGAATTATTGCACACTTTACGTGGGCGAGGAAGGAAGCCACAAAACTCATCTCGCGTGGCGAAACAAGCGATCTATCAATCTACACTACACACCGTGCGACCAATTTTTTTGCGAACAGAATTTTTCCGCTCTCGTCTAAAAATGCTACCGGCGCCTCGTCTGGAGCTGTAAAGGAAAATTGGACGGAAATTCGCAACCGGGATCATTCCCTTGATAGGGTATTGCTTGTTCTTCGCAGACAGGGTGCTGTTTTTCGGTGTTTGCATTTGATCAACAGTTGAACGGGGCTGGTTGTTTATCTCCGTTGATGACGCCAAACGAGGATCAGCAAAAAGGGAAATCGATTTTCTGTTTTTGACGGTATGATAATAGGAAAATGATGGAGGGTTAAAAGGATTAGCTTTTTTATCATATTTTATAAAAAAAAAGAATCACAAATATCCTGTAAGATTGCACTTTTTTTAAAAATCGTTCAAACTCTTCTTTTTGCAAGCCCTTAAAAATCACATTTAGTTCTAATTGTTTTTATCTCTAATTCCAATAAAAAAGTTGGAAATGAAAATTGCATTTAAAAATAGAATGATTGTCTTCATTGCATGATTGACGTCAAAATATTAGATTTTAAAATACTCCTGTATAAGTTTTTATTTTGCTGCAGGTACTTAAAGAATTAGAATTTCAAATTTAAAAACAATTTTAAATTTATAAACTTTTATAAAAAAAGGAACCTATAGAGCTCAGCTTTTGCTTGTTTGTTAGAAAAATTAATTTAATTTAGTTGCAAATTGTGTTTATTGATCTATCACAAAGGCAATTGCTGCCCATAACGGGATACATCATTTATACATTCAAAATTATATTATTAAAATTTTACAAGTCCATCCTTGATGTAGGCTTATCTGTTGGTGCTTATTAAAATGTTGAAAACTCGGCAGTTTTACCTTTTGTGAAACATTTTTTTGCGGGATTTTAAAATAATAACTCTCATATAAATGCATAGCCGAGATCACTTTTAAATAGGAAAGCACAGTTCGCAATCATGTTCAGTACTTTATAAATGTAGATTGCGCCCAGGCCAAGCGTTTTTCTCTTTCGCCTGGAGAGAAAACGACATATCGGCGCAAGAGCAGCAATTTTGCTGATGGTTTATTGATATGCTCCATGTATGTTATTTCAATATTTAAGTATCTCCCGAGGAAAAACAAGGAAAAGCACCCACTCGAGGAAGCTGCAGCGAGTGAAATATTTTTCCCCGGCGGAACTCATACGTGGAGATATATTATAGTATGTATTAAGGATGGGCCGGTCTGCTCGAGGGCCATATTTTATTGCCGACTCGGCTTTCTCCACATCTACAGGGTATCCCTTTTACGGCCGCAATTTCTAGATATACGTGTCGCGAGCAAGCTTTTTATCTCTCTCGGAAGAACCCCTGGCGCGCCGATCAATCCCCAAAGACGAGCTTTTTATTTCATATTTTGACATGCGAGCCACGGAGAATAATATGGATTAATTTTCTATATAGACAGACCGCCTCTTGGCCAAATTAGGTTTCTCAAATTGGATTGCCTTTATGGTAACATGCTGACTTTTGAAATTGGAAAATTGGACAAATATCCAACGTAAGCATAAAAAAAATGATTTATTCAATACTTTTATTGTTGGTTATTTGTCCACATTGTTTACTTTCAATTATTTAATAAAATTGTTTGAAAGAAAAGGATTGGTTGGAAAAACAGTACAACCAATAGCAAAAATTTTGCAAAAACTTCCAATACCAAAAAGACCATCCGCCGGAGAAATCATTACTTAAGGCGGTTTCTTGCAATTTGACTTAATTAATTAATTTAGTTTGGAATTTGTAAATATTTTTTTAAAAATACTTCTGAATCAAAGAGGCAATTTGAAAATTTGAAATTTAGAATTTATAAACAACATCTTTTATTTATCTAAAAAATTCCACTTAAAAAATGGTTGTTTCTAATTTTGTTTGGAAATATTGGAGTGAAATTTGAATGGTCTGTTTCCCTCCTTCCGAATTCATTCTTCCTTAATTCTTAGAAATCAATCAATGCCAACAGAGAGCGCAATGTTATTCCCAGAACTCGCAATCACCAAAGCAATCCCCGTTAAAATCAGATCGAGTGGAGATGAGAAAAATCCATTTGGCACTGCTAATAAATCGCCCAGTCAATTGAATCGTGCTTGTTCTTTTTCTCTTTGCCGGTCAGTCGGCCGCCCATTAAAACAAAGTGCCATTTTTCACCGGCGCGAACGAACAGACCGACGCACTCCATCAGCGTCCACTTCGGGAATAACCCTTGGCTCTGCCCAAAAATAATGGTGCCATATTTCCCGTCTAATGGCGACTGCGTCTGTTGCAGAAATGACCGAGTCATCGAGGATCTTCGCCTCGTCGCCAGGGTAGCGGGAAGGAGCGCTCACCGTCGGCAGGGATGCGGAGCCGTCCACCGGCAGCTTGGCTCGCCATCCTCACCACTTTTGCGGCAATCGCAGGTAAGATAAAATCCCGTGTGGTTTCATCTACTTGGAAAGACTCAGTAAGATAAATATGGATTTTTTTTCTGTGTTCTTTGTGCACAACCGGCAATTAATATGATAAGCGATATGCTGCAAGTATATTTTACCGCCGAACAAAATATTTCTAAATTCGCCCTCACAAAAATTAGAGCAAATTTTGACGTTGCTCAAATTGCAATCAAGTAATGTTTCACGTATACTGTCGTGATGCGCGATTGTTGTTCGGGCTGTCACTGTTTATAAGCCGATTTTTTGAGCACATTGTTACGCGGCCACTGGTACGCCCAGAGGGTATAGTCTCGGACGGAAGGGCTCGGGGCGCAGTTAAATCTAATCCTGCGAGCCCGACCAAGTAGAGTTCGAAACCTGACTGGGCCGGTGATTTTCAAAACTTTTTGTAGATCAAATTACATTCAAAATCACGTTTACTTAATAAAAAAACTTGTATATTGCGTAAAAAAAAATTTAAAAAATAAAAATAAAATTCCGCAAGTGTTTTAGGACTCGATCTTCAAGGGCTCGCTATTTTTTTTATTTATATTTTATTGTTGTTTTTAAAAGCTTTTCGTAGGTCAAATTACATTCAGAATCACGTTTACTGAATAAAAAACTTGTATATTGCATAAAAAAAATGAAATTTAAAATTAATTAATATTGCGGCATTTGCTCCTCGGCAACATGTACACGGCCCCGTCGCCTCAGCACGTATGCAAATCCGTTTGAACTTGCGGTGGTCTAAAAAAAATCCAAAAATTATTTTATCAGAAACTTCTTTTAATGGGTTTTCATAGGTTTTGCTGCGTAATTTCATAAAAATCATATAGGAATATTAATTTTGATAAGAAGTTATATTTGGAAATTAAAAAGTTTATTACAAAATTAAATTAATTAAAATATAAAATCGTTTTTAAAAATTGTGTCTGATTCAAAACACCTAATTGTCAGACGAGGGAAGTGTGGAAAATAATTTAAGTTCACTTTGTTTTAACAAAATTAATTTTATATTACTTATGTGAGCACGTTACACGCAAATAATAATATTTAATTTGAAAATTCCTAGCCTACTTTATTTGCCAACGTGGCTAAATTTATTAAAAATTAATTTTTATCAAATTTATATGTTCGACTGAGAATTTTTCCATCGTTATTTTTCACTTACATCACTTACAATTAAACAGCTTCCCAGGAACAATGTAAAAATATATCCAATTGTTTGCAAGCCAAAAACTTTACTTTTTGGTATTAAAAGGCAAATAATCTTTCAAATAATTTAAATATATTTGTTCAATTTAAGAAAGGAAAGCAATTTGAAGAATAAAATTTAAATTAATTGAATAATTTTGAAGTTAATAATATTTTATCATCTTATGTACATTTTTTTTTAGTTTCCTTGGCCTTTCAAAAAATACACACACACACTTTCTCAAGTATGAAAACTTTTGCAATTTCCTCCCTCCTTTTTTGCACTGCCCTTATTTAAGCACACCTTTCACTTTGGCACAACATCCCGTAGGGGAACTTATTGACCCAAAATGCGAGCGAGATCATAAAAGAGGCCGAGCATAAACTCGAAATTATATGGGGATGCCGGCGGCGCCTCGAGGCGCCTTCATCCTCTCCGTGCACACACAGACGTGTATTTTATTGAGCTGCACGGAAATGCATGCCTGGAAAGTAGTTTTCGCTACTACTTTAGAATGAGCAAAAGTTGTCTGCCGCGGAAGCACTTGTGCACAAAATTATTGATCAGAGAAGGACGCGCGCGTGTGTGCTCGTAAAACGGGGGTTATTAGGCGAAAATAAAGCCGACTTTGCAACGCAGGTGGCGTAAATTTGGAACGTGTTATGCTTGCGTTTCCGGATGGGCAAACTTTCAGGGCTCGGATGGAATAGAGGGTCGCATAATGAACGTCTGTGATTTCTCGTCCGACATTCCTGCCACTAATTTGAATTAGTAGTAATATGAAATGAAATCTCAATATTAGAAATTTAGATATTATAAATTAAATAACTCCGTTGAAATTCCGTTTTTTTGCGTTTTCTTCAAGCAGATGAATAAAAAAAAAAAATCATTAATAATTTTCAACTAAGAAGTTTTCAGAACTCTTGGGTTTAAAATTCAGACTCGATTGGATTTATAGCAACGGAGTTTCCTCCTCCGAAATTAGATTTTGTGGGTGGAGGAAGTGAAATTGATTTTGAGAAGAACAAGAAGGGTTAAATTTATGAGAACTAGAAAGGGGAAAATTTAATGACCAATTTAACCGGGTACAATTTTTAATATCATTAATTTTCTATTTAAATAAGTATATATTTTATAAAATAAATTTGAAAGCGCCGTGGTTAAAAAATTGTTGTTTTGTGCGATTTTTGCCTGAGAATTAATTTTACATTATTCCTTTTTCTCTCGCAATTCTTTTTTAATTTTATTCATAAGCTACACCAATAATTTTTGCTGACAGAGACATTGAGAACTTAAAGTAGTGGCATTTTTTGTTTGTTAAAAAACTAGACCAATAACGTTGAACATTTTTATTTTTAAATACTTAATGTTTAGTTATTGTTTATTAGCTAGGAATAGAGAAGAAAAAATGTTAATTTTCTAATTTTTTTATTATTTATAAACGTGAAAGTTACAAAACCAAATTTGACTGCGAAATACGTTTTCAAAAGATAACGTGGTTCACACCGTATGGCGCTTTTGATAAACTTGTATGGGCTAAAATTAACACGTAGATCCAACAAGGAAAGGGTAAATAATAATCCCCGCCGAGAGCAGAATTGGGCAAACAGGCCGCAAAGTCCACTCTCACACTAAACAGACAGGCCTGGGGCGCGTGCCTGCCCGAGTTTGATACAGCCTTCTAGTTAGATAGGGGTGCGAGATAAAAACGGAATGCGTTCATCCCTCAACCTGTACGCATATATATCCGCGAGAATTGGATGCGAGAGAGAGATGACGCTCTCCATTCGGGCACCTCTGGACGAAATTCAATTCCAGCCTCGCCATAGATCTCGCAACCGGGCGGCTGAATTTTCAAGATAAGCCGAGACCTGAGAGAAGGATGCAGCAGGGATATCAATGGCTGGAATTTCCCCCCGAAGAGGAGTAAAAAAAAACTGCTGGAAGTGTTCCAAAGTGAAAAATGGACCGACGTCCGAAGAGGGTTCATTAAAATTCACGAGACGCGGGTGTGTTTTTTTTTCTTCCTTGCCGAGGAAAATTTCTCGGGAAAAGTTTCGCGAAAATCCCCCCGCTGCTTTTTTCGTCGTTCCGCCGCCCAAGGTGGGGTGTTTTTGAGAGCGTGTGTTTGTTGGCTTTTTGCCACGCCGGGGGCAGCTGAGGGTGGATGAGAAATATAAATGTGGGCCATTAGGTATTCAGCAAAATAGACGGACCACTTTGCCGCAGAATCCGCATGCCGTCGCCTGAAAAATAGAGTCGTTTGCAAGTGAATGAGTGCGCTCGCCGCCCAGCCTTTTTAGCAGCGAAAATTACGTGTCGACTCGGAATCTGCGCCGACTTTTACAAGCGAATATAAATTATCATCACAAAACGCTCAAACCACGATACAATCTGAATTAAAAATGAGCACAGACAATAATTTTTGGTAAATTTTATGTTAGATAAGAATTTTTTTAAATACATTTTATTTTTAGCTAATTTATAATTTCTTGTTGTAAAAAAAACTGGCAGTCAAAAAATATGAAACTTGATGAAATAAGAACCGAGTTTCCTCTTTGAAATTTGTTTATATTTTGACTAGCTTGAAATTACTCAATGTAACTCATTTTAAATTGTAAAATGAATTGTTTTTTAGCTTGGAAAATGTACTAGAAAAACGATGGTAGTCGTAACAAGTTTGGAAATTGTTTTTAGAAGAAACAAAAACAAATGATGATAAATGTTTGTCATTTATTTGGAAACATAAAATAAATTCAAGAAAAAATCTGAAAAAATCAACAAATTAAATACCATATTAATTTTACTTTCACATGCGGTTTTTATTAAAATATTAGAAATTTTTTAGCATAATTTAATTTGATATTAACTTTTGTTTTAAGCGAGACCGGAGGTAATTAAGCCACTTGCGCATTCAAATGCAAATTAAACGATCTGTCCGTGAACTTTTGACCTGCTTCTTGATTCACATCTTAACCGTGAAAGGGCGACAGACTATTAGACCGTTTTGTATATTAATGTGTGCATATTCCAAGGAAAAATGTGCAGGCTCACGTCGCCATAAAGATTAAGCATCTTTGCGTGCACGCGCCACCTCCGCGGCTCAGACTCATTTACTTTTCTGGCACCCCGTCTCCCTCTGCATTATTTGCATTTACATCCGGAGCACAAACACATAGCAACTTCCAACCACGCCCAAGGAGAAAATAGCACTCCGATGCATTCTCTCGTCTCGTGGATTTAAAATTCAGGCCCGATTGGATTTATTGCGACGGCGTTTCCGCCAAAATTAGATTTCCTATGGGAAGAAGCAAAATCGACTTGGCTCGGCGGAAAAAATATAAGAGGGGCTAATTTCGTGAGAAGAAAGGAAAATTTGAAATCCCTTGTCTAGACATTAAGCTGGGTGTGAATTTGATGATTTTTTTTTTTTGTAAATAAAATAATTAATTTTATCAATTAAAATATCAAATTTTTTTATAAATTAAATTATGGAAAAATTTTATGATAAAAATTATTTTGTAGTGTTTTTTTACCACAAAATTAATCTTGAATTTATTACTTAAACAACATTTTTATATTGTATATTTAATAATTTACAGTTTAAATTTTATTCTCAAAATTAAAAACATTTTGATCTGATTTTTTTTGTTGCAGCATGTTACGAGTTGCGGTACCCGCCGGAAATCGTCGCCCTTGGAGACGATCTGCGCATTGAGGTGTACAACGTGACCTGGCCGGCGGTGGCCGCGACCAACGCCACCGCCGGCCCTGACCTCCTTCAGCCGCCGACCCAGGACACGATCGAGTTGCTGCTCGGCAAGGACGACCCAAAGCCAAGGGCGCTGGTCAAGGTCGGTTTGCGGCAAGGCCAAGGGGGCGGCGCGCCAGTTGTTTACTTTCCGTGCAAACTCTTCTGGCACGGCGGCGCCTACTTCCTCAGGTACAACAATGGCTCCAGCGTGGCGCCGCTCGCTGTCAAGTGGTACAATGTCACGCTGCTCAACGTCACCGACCAACTTATCCATGTAAGTCTGGCAAACTTATCGCAAGAACTAACTAACTGGGGACAAAGGATGTCATTTTTTTCCAAAGCTATATGCAATGGATAAACATTAAATTTTTATTAATAAGCTTGTAATATAGATTTTTTTCTTTCAATTCTTCTGAATAGAGCAAAATATCAAGCGGGGATGATTTTAACAATAAAATTATCACATTAAATTTTTTAATTAATTATCATTCTATTATTTATTTCAATCACTTCCAGGTTCATAATTTATTTTCAGTTTTTGTGCTCAATTTTTCTTTATAAAATTTTATTTTTTAGCTTCTCTGATGTGGAAATTTTCGTTTATATGTTCTGCGGCGTAGAAATAATTATGCTCTGGAACGTGGAAAGAAGTACTTACGTCTTATTAAATTTGTGTTAAACAATAAAAACCCTTGAGAAATTCCATGTAATTTAAAAACCGTGCGTTTTCAAGACTTGTTTTGATAGCGCTCAGTACTTGTTTTGTGTTCCGTGAATATTGCAGCATTAATTAGCGCGGAAATGTAAACAATGCTCACATTTCTACAGACTTTTACAAATCCAAGCTGCTTGCTCTCAGCTGCTTATAAGTGTTTGCTGTGGAATATATGCAAAATACTTTTTTTACAAACTATATATGGAAACTTCAACTGACTTAAATTTAATTTAGCTCATTATTAGTTAAAAAACAGTGCATATATCCTTATATTAAATCTTAAACTGAATCTTTTAACAATTAAATGTTGCAGACATTCCAGGACAGCGTGAGCTTCAAAGTGAAATTCTCTTGGCTGACGTGTCCGGAATCGGCGTCCTTGCTGAGCGCGCACAAAGAAGAGGGCGTAGCGTTTGCCAACACGACGCATCTGCAGCTGCAACTTGTTTTCTGCGGACACTCGACGGACGGTTGCGTCCCTGGCCGCAACCGCTCGCAGTTGCTGCATTCGGAGGTGATTTGGCCGGATGCGGAGAGACCGCTAGACGTCCACCTGTCTTGTGATCTGTTTGGACAGGCTGGGCGGTACCTGATTTGGATCCTGGGCTTTGGAGAAGGCCAGCCAAAAGGTAGTAAATAGGAAATTTTTAAATATTTGAACGCAGTGCTTGAATTAATTTTTTTATTTGAATCGAAAGCAATTTATTGTAGCAAAATTAACTTATATTTGAAAGAGTAACGATTAATTTTGATTATTTAAAAAATGTATCTACCATTGCCATCTTTTCTTTCATTTGCTCACAGCATTTTAAAAATACATGTTTCGTCTCACCAGGCAGAAATTGCTAATATATGGATTGCAGGTTGCCTACAATAAAAAGTTGCAGGCGTTGTGTGGCTTGAAATGAACATATTTTTATTTTTCGATGGCACATTCATTTTCTTCATATTTCTTATTAATAAATCAAAATCAAATCTTTGCTGCATTGTCCAGAAAATCACAATTGTCGTTTTTCAAGTTTTAAAGAATTCTCTAAAACCTATTAAGCAAAATATATTAATTAATATATTAAATTTAATTTTCATTTGAAAACTTCACTGGATTTTAAACCGACTTGTATCTGGTTTCTTTCAGATGGATCGCTTTTAGTGCAATCTCGAGCGCTTCGCGTTGAGTGGAGTGACAAATTTGTTTTCAACGTTTTCGCCCGGAGCATTTTCCCCTGTGATATGCTGCCGTCCGCTTCTATTGGTAAGTTCACAAGAATTCCTTCACACTGCTTGTTTAAAAAACGTCAAGTGTGCCATTTGTTAAAGACGGTATTTTCGGCAGCTCTCCAATTTCTAATTTATCAGCTCGCCTTGTGCAAGTCGGTGGCTTTTATATCTCCTTTTCCAGCCGACTGAAGAAATAAATACCTAATAGATTCGAGAGGGGTGGACGGTTGACGCTTTTCGCGTGCATTATTCATTCGAAAGAGATGAGAGACCGGGTGTGTTGAAAGGTGGCCTCTCTCTCTCTAGCCCACCGGCGACCACATTTGCCACAATATTATCATAATGATTATGCTAATGAAGAGGCTGTTCAAAAGATTAAAGTCCGCTCGTTAAGCCATACAGCAGCCGCTCTGGCTGTTTTGATGCGCGCGGCACAAAGCCACACCGTTTTGAGTGGCTCGAGTGGTGGCAATTTGTGCATGATCCACTCGCCAGTCACGCCACAAGCATCTATTTCTCTTTTTTCTGATTATCCTTACTTACAAAAAAAAATTGTTTATCTCTTTGATGATATGGATGTAAAATAAAATAGAAATCAGAAATGGAAAAAATTTAAGTGATTGATTTGTAAAAATATTCCAATTATAAGAGAATTAAAAAGGAAAAAAAAAACACTTTGAAATTGAATGCAAAATAAAAATTTGATAGTAATGAAATACAGTAGTGCAAATAGTCATTTAAAAGTTCAAAAGCAGCAACTTTAAACTGTTTTAATTTGTTCAACTGTTGTTCTTTGCGGTTCTTTGATAATTAAGTTGAAATTTGAGCACCGTTGTTGTAAGCTTGAGAAACTGTTAGTGTTATATATTATTTTTATCATCATTATTGTTTTAAATTCTCTGATTGTTCCAAAATTCGGAGAAATAAATAATAAAACAAAACAAAAATAATTAGAAATTTAACTCAAGTTAAGTTGAAACACATGTAATGTTAACTTTAAATAAAATTGTGAATTATTAATATTGCACGATTCAAGCTTATTGTTTGTAGATTTAGAAAGGATGATTTATGCAAAAATTATATTAAAAATAATAATTTGTATATTGATGTGTTTTTTCAGTTGGCGGAGGCAGTCGTGGTGACAGAAACATCACGGTGTTGTTCACCTACCCGGATTGCATCCTGCCAGACTCAGACCGGGTGCGGGTGTTCGCGCGCAAAGAGTCCGCCATGTCCTCGGTGGACCCGACCAGTCTGATCTACGTCACGGAGCAGCGGGTGACCAAGGGCCAGCACAGCGCCGCCTTCCCGTGTTCGCTTTTCACAGAGAATTACCTCGAGTACTGCTTTGTGTACGTGAGCGGCGCCAAAAGTGGCGCTGCCAGTGACGTGCGGGTCGACTGCGTGCCCACCCTGCCCATCGGCGGTGAGTTTCATTCGATTAACCCCTTGCTTTGTGCGTTAACATAATATACAGCAACCCCCACGTCAAGTGGACTGCGGGTCATTGCGCTCCGAGAGCTTTCTTTGGAATTAAACTGGGGCTGCCTTGAGCAGACACTCATACTACTCCATACAAATTCATGATTTTTTTTTCATTGACATTAGTTAAGCAATATGGTGGATTTCTAATTATATCGATCACAATTTTTGGGGTGATAAGTTGACAGAAGAAATTTTGAGGGGAAAATTAATGACTCCCTTTTGGCATCAAATCAAGTTTTTACAGCAATATAAAGGAATTGCTGATAATTAGACAAGAATTAGAGACTTCGACCAACATTGTTGAATTTTATTGCACTAATAAAGAGTCTGTAACGTCCCAACAATCGCAACAATCAAAATGGAGAAATTTGATAGTAATCAAGGCAAAAAGTCAATGTCGCGTTTCATTTTGTTTTATATTTATTTAATTTTTTAATGAGCGCAGACATTGGGAATTTTTTCCAAGTGAGCTTACAGCAGTTAAGATCTTCAACTTAATGTCAATTTATAGAAAGCAAAACTTTATTTACTTAGACTGTTGTGGGAACCAAACATGAGTCAGCTAAGTTAACTAAATTAGTGCAGGCTGCAAGTGAAAAAAATGTAAATTTTCCATTTTGGTTCAAAGCCTTCGAAACTTTGGCAGTTTCCATGAGTTGAATTGATTTTGATGTCTGATTCTGACAACAGTCAAAATATATGCTATTTGCTTTCTAAATATGGAAATGACAAAAGTCAACAAGCACCTAATTTAAAAGTTCAAACATACATGATAATAAATTCAAGGAAAATCGCGTCCAGCGCTAATCCTGATGTCGTATTCTCAGTTGAGGGATATTTCTAAGGACTAAAAAATAAGCTTAATTACTACTGGAAATCTAGAAAAAGGAATAGTTAAAAGAAACTTATATATTATCAATGATAAAAAATTAAAATAATAAATTATCATTTTTTATTGAATCAAAATGGTCCAGAAAAAAATTGTTTAAAAGTATTTTGATACATATCCATAGCTTATTTTTTTATCTATTTTATTTTTTTAAATTATATAACACTTTTTTTTAATGAAATAAGTATTTTCTTATGTTCATTTTATAGAAATGGAAGGCTTTCGTTTTGCTTGATTATGCACATTTCTTTATAATGGCTTTTGGGTGCGCATTTTTGCTTAAGTATTTCATAGATATATAAAAAAAACGCGTACGTAAATGTTAAAAGCTCACGTTGTAGATTTTATTTTCCTTCGGCGGAAGCAACAGCACACGTTTTAGTCTTGCGATTATTTGCTTTTGATGAAAACCCTTTCACGGAAAGTCGTAGAAAGGATGTTGCGAAAAACTCTCTTTCGCAATAAAACGTGCAAATAGCACGCGCGGTTCTTTCACCCGTGTGCTTTTTGTGTCGAAGCACAAACCGCACCCTTCCCTCATTTTCCGACCCCTTTTTCAAAAGACGAGAAAATCGAGGGTTTTCACAAATCGCTCGCCCGGAAACGAGAACAAAATGATCCCTTTTGGCGGCCACACGCGAAAATGGAAAAAGAAAAACGTGCTAACGGCACTGTGTGTGTTCTTTGATTATTCAGATTCGGCTGCTGGTGCGTGGGGAAGTTGGAGTTCGTGGACCACCTGTTCCTCCACTTGTGGTTACGGCGTGCGGAACAGATACCGCTTCTGCGACTCGCCGCCCCCGAGGTACGGCGCAAAGTTTTGCGAGGTAAGACAAACACAACAATCAATTATAAGCTGCTTGCTTTGCTAACAACTTTGTGCTGACGAAAGCGGGAGTTCGGATTTGAATTAATTAACATATAATAAGGATCATACATATTATCAGACACGTTTTGGCAAAGTGCAAAAATAATAAATATTTTTTAATCAATTTTTCATATTATGTTCCTATTTATTAAAAAATACGATTTCAATGAAAAATGAAAATACTTAAAGTCACTTACAGGCTATAGAATAATTTTAAATTACTTGATTTACATTTTTAGACTCAGAAAAGTTAATTATAATAATTTTTTTCCATATCTTTTAGAAATAAAAACAAACAAATTAAAGATCTTTGTTTATCTATTTTTTTTTTATAAAATATGCACATTAGCTGTGTTGAATTTGATGCACAGGATGTTTTAAATTTTACAAAATAAAATTGAACGAAATTAATATTTTGTCTATTATTTTAAACATCTTATGTAGTTGATAAAATTTGAAGCCTCAATAAATAAATTTTAAAACTTAATAAATTTACAAAGAAATTTGTTTTAATTTTTGTTAAAAATTTTTACTTATAAAAACATATCTTTTCTCCAATTGTTTCAGGGTAAATCACTAGAGTCAGAGCAGTGCACCAACCTTTCCCCATGTGCAGACGGCTCCGGCTGGACGTCCATGACCCCTGGTGCGCCTCTTCCTGCCGAAAACGACCAGGTCCAGGCTGAGGTTGGCTCTGGCTGTCGGTGCGGCTGCGTCATCCACCTGAATTCGGTCAAACCACGTCGGCTTCTCGCCGCCTCTTCCCAAAGTTGTCCGGGCCGCACCTTCTGGCTGGTGCAGTCGGACGAGGACGGACAAGTCGTCGACCTGGAGGTCGACCACTTTCGGCTGGCCTGTGAAAAGCAGTGGCTCAAGGTGCGCGACGGTGACTCTCTGGCCGCCATCATGGTCGCGCACCTCACTGTGGACACGCAGACCAACCGTCCGGTGAAGGCTCTTGCGTCCGGACGTTCCCTGCTGCTCGAGTTTTACTCCGAGATTGATCCAGACAGCGGCACCGAGTGCAAGGGAGGCTTTTTGGCCCACGCACAGCAGAGGAGTGAGTATTTTTTATTGAGTTTGTGTTTACATTCGGTTGCGTAAAGTTGGAATTTGACTTATATTTTGTAAAAAAAAACTGGACGTTAATAGCAGCGGAAAGTTTGTAACTCAAAACAAAACTTATTGTTACGTTGAACTTCTACAAATTTAGAAAAATGCTGTTTAAATTTTTAATATTTTATTGTTTATTATTTTATTCTATTTTATCAGATTAATAATTAATTAAAAGCCTTTAAAATGCAACAATGTATTTTTCCAAATTAGAGTTGTGACTATTTGAGAAATTTTGTACTTAAATATTTAATGAATGCATTTTTTAAAATTCAAATTAGAAAATTGAAAATTCTAATATTTAAATGTAAAATTTAATTCTTAAATAAATTATTTTGTTTATTTATTTTGCTCTTAAATTTTCTTAAAGTTTTTGTTAAAATATAAAGCAATTATTTGAAGTTACTTATAAATTATTTTGCCTGTTCTTCCGATTGCCAAATGGAGAAAATTATTTTTCCCACTGTCAAATCCTCCAGTTTTCCTGTTGGTTTTCCCTCTCGCAGGGTGCAGCAACGTTGATATCGATTGTTTTTTCTGCATCCCCCACACGTTCCGATGTTTAGTTAAAGGTGCGTTTTCCGTGTGCACTTTCCACACATACCCAGCAGCTTGCCCTTCGTAAACACACGCGTGGCGGCTGTTTGCTGCTTTTGGGCAGCAACCCCTGCGGCCGGTGCATAATTAATGGCTCCCATCCCATTTAATCCCCCAGCCGTTGACCACACTCCAATATCGCACTCCGGTTGGTTGGTCGGAGGCTGTGCCTCCGGTGGAAAAAGCAACTAGCGAAAACATGTGCGCGCCACAAATCACATCGGCCGACCTCGCACCGAAATTCATAATTAATCAGGCCGATTATACGCGCATGGGTGGACTCACCCGGTGACACCTTTTGCAAATCGAATTTCCGCGGCAATCTGATTAGCGCTGCCCGAGAGTGGCACGCACGCCAAATTCTAATAATTCAATCATCGGTGGATTTCGATTGCTCATTTTGGGCTGACTGAAGCTGGGTTAGGCCAAGACAAAGTGTCTTATCGGCCTGTGCCCTTTTTTGAGTTTATTTGGGTATTTGTTTTTATTTGTTTATTAATTTTTTTTATTAAAAGTTTTAATATTTACTTATTTATAAAGTCATAATATGAGGATGCAAAAATAAAATTATTTCTTTCTTTCATGTATTGCAAGTTTCAAAAATGAACAGAAAAGTATATAGATACAAAAATGATGGTGATTTGAGTTTAAAGTCAGCTTTTCCTAGATGGGTTTTGTGAGTTGTTTATTGTTTAAGGAAAACAATATCCTGCTCTTAAACAATAAACGACTCACAAAACCCATCGAGGAAAAACCGACTATATATTAAAATCACCATCCTTTTTTTGTTATTAATTATATCCTATATCTGTATAAATAAAACATTAATTATCGTTTGCATTACATGATAGTTAGTCTTTGGGCTTATTTATAAATAATTATCTTTTAATTTTAACGCCTAGTCGGTTTCATAACATAATTTCCTGTATTAAATTTTCGTTTCCAGTACAAACATCCACCGTAATTGGATTTTCGCGCGGGTTAATCTCGCTAACTTCCGAACGAGTTTTGTTTCCGCCCAGGCTTTTGGCAAAACTTTGCACTTTTCACGTGTCTAGTGTTCTCGTCGGCTGGAACGACATGGGAGACTAATTTAAAGGTAGTTAAAAATTCCCTCTCAACAAGTTTGGAGGCAAAAACACAGAAGGCTGCCTCCGCTCTAAACTGCTCTCTCGGAACAAAAAGAAAAAGTCTGGCCAGCCGGCTTTGCAAACAAGCCGTCGGCGGAGAATGAGTCTTTCATGCACTCACGTGTCTACAGCAAAAAACCCCTTGAAATATTTATTGCTCTTTTCGGCGAATTTTCCGTGCAGAAAAATTTTCACAGGTCAAAAAATTTCACGCTTGTTTGCAACGAGACGAGATTATATAATCCCTCTTTTTTCTTTTTTCGACAGGGTGCGTGTTGATTTATCCGGCCGGCAACTGCGTTCGCTTTTGCTTGACAAAGCTTTTTATGTTTCTGCCCGACGCATTCTCTTTTTTTTTTCGTTTGCCGGACGAACTGGATGATTTGCCTGCGAGAAAAAACATTGCTCTCGCACTTTATAGGCAATAAACAGAGTCGCGTTTTATGTCACTTCTGATTGACTTTGCTTTTGATTTCCGCATAGCAATAAAACGATTTGATATCGCGAATCCAGACGAGTTGGTGTTGCGTTAATGAAATACGGCGTTTGTGTCATCTTTCCTGCTCCATTTCATCAGTTTTTTATTCTTTTTTTTTTTAAAAAAAAAGACAGATATTAATCATTGCTTTGAACAGTAGAATGGGAACTGGAAAATGTTTTATTTTATTTTTAATAAATGATAATATTCAATTTTACTTATCAAATGTTACTGAAATGAGGAAATTTGTTTTTTTCTTGTAATGTATATTTTTTTAACGTTTTTCTTCTTCTTTTTCTTACAATTTTTGAAATTTAAAGGCTCAAAGTTGGTTAGCTCCAGCCAACTGAAAACATTTTTGCGTAACCAGCCGGTACAAAATAAACTAATGTGAAAAATTTAATGTAATTTTAGACATGCGGTTGCATTCCAATTTATTTCTGCACTATCATGCTAAATAATTCGATCTCTAGAAAATTTCTACGCAAATGCGATATGCGTGAATTTATAATTGTAGAAGATATCATTGTGTCGACTGCCATTTGTGTACTGGGACACAATTACGGTTCGCTGACTTCATTAGAGGAAATGATGTCGATATAATATTTCACATTTATGGTGCTTGCGTTTTAGATTATTTACAAAACCATGCACTTTTTTGAAACCATTTCTCTAAAGAACTGGTTTTACATTACAGAAAATAATAATAATAATAAAAATAAACAAACTAAAAATAATAATTTGGTGTAGCGTATATAAAATAATAACCTAGGCTGATCCAACAAAACTAGTCTTTTTTATAAAAAACGTTTAATAAGTTTTTGCTACTTGAAATATTGATTTTTTTTAAATATATCAAATTTATTATTATGCAATTTCAAGAAGTTTGGCTACTTGATCTTCAGATTATAATTTGTTATTTAAATTGACTGTGATTTATCATAATTTTTTTATTTCTTCTCTAGTAGATTTCAGACTAAATAAAACTTTGCATTGAAATTTTTATTATAAAGTTTTATTTTTGGGTTCTTTGTGAATTCTTCCAATTCATTTTGAACGGTTTGTTTTTGTAAAACACAAAAATAATAATTTTTCTTTCCAATTTTCGCACTTTATTTGTGAACAATAAAAAAAATTGTAGTACAAGTAATTTTTAAGTATCAAAGTAAAAAATATTCTATATTGCCATTTTACAATTTCTTGAATCTTAATTTTGATATTATTTAAAGTCTCTTTTTTTGTTGTGTATTTTTAGCGGCACCAGTGCACAACTCGAGCGTTCCCCTTCTGTCTGGAATCGGCATTGGCGACGAAGACGACGCCCTGGACCTGCAGGGTCCGTTCCGGGTGGCCACGCACCTGGTAGCGGTCGTCTTCATGGCCGTCGTGGTGCTCATGTCGTGCCTCTTGCTGGTGCAATACGTCGTGCGTTACCACAAGTACCAGCGAACTGCCGGCGCCGAACCCATTTCGCCGTGCCACAGCATCGGTGGGAGCATCGGCAGGTGCGTGTGCCGCGCTCTTATTGCGTCTCATAACGCATGCTTATATTGAATTTTTTATGCTCGACGCGCCGTCCGTCTGCATTATTTTCCGAGCCGGCGCCTTTATTGAATTTCTCCGCGCCCTAGCTTGTGTGTGTCTCTCGTAAATTCATTCACGCGAGCTGTCGGTACGCATCGGCAAATGGTTTTGATCTTCCGATTATTTAAATTAAGAACACGTCGGATGCGGGGGAGGTTGAGTTTTAATGGAGGGGTGAAGTCGTAACTCGATTTTAAAACAAAATAAATTGCGTCGGGAAACTTGGAGGAAAACGCGAGTCGTGCAGGTTGCCTAGATGTGGATTTTGCAGGCGCTTTCCTAAAAAAGCTGCTTTTAGATTGTTGAAGACGAAGTATTGTTTTTTTTTATTAATACTTTTAATTTTTTTACTGGTGAAATTTTCCAATATCAAACACATAATTTCTTGTATTACAAAATTGAATTCTTTGTCTACTTCCAAATTTTTCATTATGATGTTAAAGAAGCAAAATTTGTAATATTTGCTTTTCTTTTTTTTTCTTCCTGACAAATTGTGTTTGTTCGGTGTTAGCAGGTTCACGTCGAGCACGACTCTGTCCGAAATCATCTCCCTGCGCCACTTTGGCGGCGGCAGACGAGGCACCAAGCACGAGCGACTCAAGGAGGAGAAAGTGCTGTAAGTGATTTTCGTGAAGAAGCGCGGTCCCTTTATATCCAGCGCTTGCCCTCTTTTTTACACTCGCAGGATCAAAAAGTTCCAATTGCTCTCTACCTAAATTTTTTCTGGCTCTTGCAGGGAAATAAAGGCTCCAAAAGCGGCTTTGGAGGAGGACGATGAGGTGTGCGGCTCAATCGAATCGCTGCCGGAAAAGTACGAGGAGGACTGCCACGAGAAGGAAAACGAAAATTCCGACTCGGAGAGGAAACCTCTCACGCCCAAGGTCCACCGGAAACCGCACTACTCGCCTAACAAAAAGCGCAAAGCCAAGCAAAAGCTGAGGTGAGAAATAATTGAATGATTTGATAATTATATTTATTGGTTTCAATCAAAATTAAATTATTTAAACAAATATCATAAATATACTTAAAAATGATTAATTTTGTAGATTTTCATTCAATATTATTAATTTATTTTTTCTTGTAACAGATTGCAGAAGTCAAACATCAGTCCTGTCAAGGAAGATACGCCTAAAATTAAAACAGAATCGCCAAACTCGTCCGAGTCAGTGCATATCACTGTCCAACGAACCCCACCAGTGGCCAAGGCGAGTAAAGAAAAGCAGAACAGGGCCAAATGTTTGCTTCAGAAAAAGGGTGGTGTCGCCCGACCAACCCTGTTGCCATCGCACGCAAGGGTGCTGCAGGCAGGCAGCTCAGAATTTTCCCTCACCGGCACGGAGAGCGAGATGGAAATGGATTATTACGACTACAATGTTCAGAACGCCAGCGCAGTCCCTGGCTCTTATTTGGGCATGGACCCGGCCTACCTGGTGTGGATTCCGCCAGCAACTCCCACAGGGTCTGTCGAGGGAGACGACGATGTGACCGTCGTCTTTAACAACAAGGACGAGGGCATTACTGCCTCCGGGGAGGTGGTCAAGCTGCAGACGTTGGCAGGCGAGGTTGACATTGATGAGGAAATCAAGTATGCTGATGACGACGAGGAGGACGAGGCGTGATTTTTTATTGAATGTGATTTCTTTTTAAAGCAGGAATGAAATGAGACAAAAATTTACGTTTGCTTTTGCTGCGGAAAATTTTTAATGATCTCTCTGCAGATTTTAATTTTACAATTTGACCCACCGTTGATGTACAACCACACATTAAGTTTTGATTCCCCCCTTTTTTTAAAGAAATTTAATGTCAGAATGTATACAATTTGCTGCATTGGTGTGATTATTTTTTAATTTTATCTGGTAGGATCATTACATAATAATTGTGTTTACTCGAAACTGGTATAGCTGAATAGTCTGATGTAACAAAAATCAAAAAGCAACAAACTCACTCCCAGTTGAAAAATTGTTTTGTACTTTTGTTGAGACTGTTCTAGTTTGTGCGAGTTGGATGATTACTATGTGATTACAACGGGATAATTCTCGCGAGACTGTAGAATGCTAATTTTAAGATGACGTTACTTGTCTGTTTACATGGCAGCTTGATTTGGCTAAAAATCAACAACCCCCTTTTAAAGCATAATGTTCAAATTCGGCTCAAAATTTTCACCCATATCAATTGAACCCAAGAATTGACGAGTTAAAAGACCAGTTCTGTAACTGGATGTTTATTCTTCTAGTCCCTTACCTCAACTTAGTATTGTACTCGAGAGGCATGAGTGTCGATAGTAAAAGGAACTTATATACTATGAATGTAACTCTATCCCATCATTATTGTACAGAACTGAAGAGATTAATAAAAATGTAAATGGAAATGTATGCGAGGCGTTTCTCTTTAACCAAACTCAACCATGACTAATAGGCCAATTTGAAATGAAACCGAAACATCTTGAGAAGAATCTGAATTTAATGCTGTGTAAATAATAATAATACGGAAATTCTATTCCATTCCAGAAAAAATAAATAACTGGATGCAATTATTCTTTTCTGCTACATCTCTCGCAGAGCTTGACAAAAAAAATAATAAAAATAATAACAGTCGAATTAATTTGTCCAAATCATTTCGTTTCCTGAATCAGTTTTGTGGCTTCCCTAAAAACATTTAAATAATAAAATTAGATTGCAATCGATTTCTAACAAAGTCACAACTGACCTCGCTGGGCTCCAACGGCTAGTGGCTGCTGTTGTTGCTGGTTCTGCTGCTGGTTTCGTTGGTTGTTGTAACCCCCGCGGTTGCCTCGAAACGCACCCCTGTTGTTATAGTTGCCCCTGTAGCCAGATCCACCACGGTAATAACCACCCCTTCCTCCTCTGTAGCCTCTGCGGGCTGACGAAACACCAAAGGTCTCCGAGTTCAGCTTCCTTTCTTGGCGCCAATCTGTGCGCTGAGATGCACTGGAGAATTTAAATTTAAATTAGGAAACTAAAAAGATTGGAAATTTTAACTAATCATACCCTTTGCTGCGCTCAATAGCTTCGCAGCTGATGTTGTCGAAAAATGAAACCTCCTTGTCATAGAAACACTCGCCTGACTCATCATCTTTGTTCTCGATTTCTGGCTGCTTTTCCTTGGTCTCTGATGAAGTATCACCACCATTCAACGCCGCCTTCACTGTTGAACAAAAAAAGCGTTTAATCCCTTGCCAGAAATTTGCCTTTCTATCCATACATGGCCCAGGAGTGACGTCGGCGGCAGTTGCCATTTTTATGCCAACATTGGACGAGCCGGCCGCTGTGGCAGTGATCTTGATTTTGGCCAGCTGAGAACGCAGGTTTTCAAACTCAGTGTTTGCCTGCTCAAAGTCGTAGTCCCCTTCAAACTTGAGGACGTTTCTCTTCTGGTTCGGGGCGTTCGGGCCACCCTGTTGCTGTCCTTGCTGAGGGTGAGGGCCGCCTTGCTGCTGGGGGCCTCCACCCCTGATAAACGGAGCGCCTCCACGTCCTCCCCGTCCACGACGGGCACCTCCGCGCCATCCTCCGGGTGCGCCGCGGTTATTTTGTTGGCCCCAACCGCGGTTATCACCCTCATTCCGGCCACTATTAACAGAAGTACATTGTAGTGATCGAATTTAGGAACTTCACTAAATAAAATTACTGGCTGTAGGCGTCAACGACTCTCTCCAAATGTTGAGCATAATTCTGCCATCTATTATACATCAGGATTGGTTTAATTAATTTGCAGAATTATGCACCAATTTATTTAAACATAAAAATTTTCAATTGTCTAAAGAAGATTAAAAATTGAGAAATTTCAACATCTCAACCAACTTCAAACACAATCAAAAAGATTACAGCTTCATTAAAAACTAGCCATTACCCTTCTCTGTCGTAATTGTTCCATCCTCCCCTGTGAGGCCCTCCACGTCCACCACCTCTGTTGAAGTCCCTGCCGTCCCTCTCACCCTGTTGTCTGTGAGCACCGCGGCTGCCGATGGCACCCACTTGGTGGCTTTTGCCGTGCTGGTCCGATTGGGTTGACTGGTCCATGGTGGGCGACTTGCGAGCATTGACTGGCGTCATTGCCCTGCCTGACATCAGGTCTGACAACAAGCCTAGTTTCATTAAAGATGCAAAAATGCGTTGGGGTCACAATTTTAAAGTAGCAAAGCACCGCAGCAGGCAGCTACAGCAACCAAGCATGCACGAATACAGATATTCATTAGAATTTGAAGCTAAATTTTAAATTAGAGTGAAATAATGATTTAGGAAAAAATCACTTTAAATTATGATTCTACTTTAAAGAGGTCCCTTAAAGTAACAGTTAACATGAGGGTAATGACTGTATTGAAATAATAGTTCAAGTAAAATTGCAAGCAGTAATAAGAACTAAATGAATAATTTCCTTATCGATATTTATATAAATTTAAGTTATTTTGATAACATAGATTTTTTTTTTAATTTTGCAAAATTCAACTTCTTTCAACTTCAAACAAAGACAGTAAGCTTACTACTAATAATATTATAGACCTATTCAGATAAATAATATACAGATAAAATAAATAAATTTATATTAAATGAAAAGAAAACTATTCCTATAGCAATAACAATTTAAGAGCCTAATGAATAAAGAATCTTTGAAGAGACCAACATGCATTTTTTCACTAAGCTCATTTAGATTTCAGACAGAGTGAAAGCGCCCAAGAGTAAGAACTAAAGCAGATAAGCGTGCACATTACTTGGTTGTTGCAACTCACCAATTGGAGATTCGTCTACTTTGGCGCCGCCGGGGCGCGGAGGGGACATTGAGTCCTGAGGGCACTCACTGGAGAGGATTTTCGCTGAATCCTGGTGTGACAGGATGCCGCTAGAGAGATTGGCCGCAACCGAGTTGTACGACGAGCCGAACGGAGGCACACTCTGGCGCATCTGGCCCAACATGCCGCTACCTCCGAATACCGGGGCAGGCTGGGGCGCGGGGGCCTGTTGCTGCTGGAAACTAGAGCTAGCAAGCGGCTGAGGCACCGACAACTGAAATTAAGATGATTTGATTAATAACGTACTGATCTTGCCAAAATTAATAAAATATTTATAACAATGGATTTTATTCTTTAATACTAAATTTTCAACTTTGATTAAATTTCAATTTTATTTTTAATGGTTGAAATAATGAAAATTTTTAATTGTATTTATATTAAGATGTAACTTACAGTAACGATGGCCGGATCATTAGGTACAGGATTGACCGTGTTTACAACACGAATATCCTTGATGTCGGATCCACGGAACAAAATGTAATCGTAGATTTGGTTCTGAGGCGACACCGGAAAGCTGCACTCGCGGTCTTCTGTGCCGAAAGAGCGCACTGCAAACATAAAATTCATTAGTTGTGTGCTCACAGACCTGTAGATGTGCAAGAAATTCTGCAATTTATCGCGCTCCAACCAAAACAATGCAGAAAATGGCAGGAATTCGGGCTCATTATAAAAACCACTGGAGACGGACTGAATTCTTAAAATTTTCGGCCATGGCCCACGTTTTGGTGGACAATAAAAAGATTTGAAGTGAAAAGGACAATGATTTTGGCTCGGGTTTAATTTATAGGGGTTATTTCGGTGTAAAAAGATCGAAATATACAACAAAGTGAAAAATAGCGGTATTAGTGTTTACATAATTTCCAGACCGCGTCCCAGTCGCCATTTTCACTTAGAGCTCTGGGAATTTTCAAAATTGCATGTTTGAGGATTTCAAAAGCAATTTGGTGCCTTTAAAACTTCATAAAATTTGTTATTAGCAGCAATAAAAGGGTGAAAACAAACCATTTGACAGGGCGATTGTGCATTCCTGAGGGTCTACTGTGAAGAGTCTCCCTTCGTATCTGATGTCGGCTTTCGAAATCAAACTGATTTTACTGCCCAGTTCAGGCATCGCAGCACCTCCAGCACTCATTTTTCCTGGAAAATTGGTGATGGAAAGTGCGGATGATCGAAGATAAAATTAGAGTTCCGCGGAGCCTCAATCAAAGCCGATGCTACTTCCGAAGCCAATTTTTTTGAGAATACAACATCAGGGATGCCAGCATGGAGAAAATTGAGGTACCAAAATTTGCAAAGGTAGAACAATTTCTTGAGTTCTGAAAATATTTTACAATTATTTGTAACTTTAAATTAAATTTAAACAATTTATAAGAATTTGAATTATCGAAATTGTGACGTAAAAGCTCATAATTTACAAAAATATAATACAAATTTATTTTCATTTGGTTGTCTACAGTGTTCAATGTGAGGTCAAATTTAAAAAGCTTTTCTGAAATTTTGATTTTTGAGAAGAATGTAACATGATTTTTCAAACTTAAAATTAAAAATAATTTTTTTTATGCTACAGTGTTCAGCTATATAATTACATTTGCCTGGTGCATAGAAATTATTTATTGACCAGAGTGGTTGCCAATTTTTACCATCTCTCCTCCATAACCATCATGGCCGCCGTCCTAGGGAGGTTGTGCAGATCTGGTGTTTTAACACCAAATAATGGCATTTCGCTTCACCAGGTTAGAAATTTACCTTTTCAAACTCATAAAGAACTACTTAAGTGCAAAATCAAGACCAAACTTGCATGCCCTGTCTGCAAATTCGACCTTTTTCCGAACCGTTACCGGTCACCATTTCAATGACCTCTCACAGATGTTCTTGCACGTCTTTTTTATTTCATTACATAATTCCTACTAAATCCTGCTTAATTTTCTTTTATCGATTAACCAACAATAATTAATATTTAGAAGAATTTCTTCATTTTAAAATTTTGATTGAGAAGTGTCTCATGATGACCATTGTGCGTGCTTTAGATTGCCAACCTATCAACGGGGGCCAAATTCGGCAGGAACCGAAAAGTGGTGAGTATTTTGTCTATCATTAAAAATAGGATGGTAAAATAATTGGGCGTTGAATATTCTTTACAGATATACACTGCCTTCGGTGTTTTGACCGGGGGTGCAGCCGGCCTGCTCATCGCCCTTGAACAGTCAGTTCAAGCCTCTGGAAATGACCTTAAACCACCCAAGAATGTGTGGCCCCATTCTGGCACATTTTCATCTCTAGACCACTCTAGGTAAATTTTGATTGTTTTCAATTAAAAGTGTTCAGAAAATAAAATAATTTTTCAACTTCATTTTCAGCGTTCGACGAGGGTACGAGGTGTACAAACAAGTCTGTGCTGCCTGTCACAGCATGCGCTACATTGCTTACCGCAACTTGATTGGTGTGTCCCACACTGAGGCTGAAGCAAAGGCGGAAGCTGAAGAAATTCAAGTTTGAACTCAACTTTGGCCAAAGGAAAGAACGTTCTTAATCATATTTTTTTAGGTCAGGGATGGTCCCGATGATCAAGGAAACTACTTCATGAGGCCAGGAAAACTGTCCGACTACTTCCCTAATCCTTATCCAAATGAAGAGGCAGCCCGTGCAGCAAACAATGGTGCTTACCCACCAGACTTGAGCTACATCGTCTCGGCTCGCCATGGAGGAGAGGTGATTTTAAATTATTGTTTTTGGTCGTTTTTAGTAAAAAAAAAAATATATATAATATATTTTCACTACATTTAATTATTGTTATTGAGTTTTAATTTATTTTTTAAGGTTTAATAATAATTTATTTGTTTGCAACAGGATTACATCTTTGCGCTGCTGACTGGCTATGTTGATGCTCCAGCTGGTGTTGTCCTGAGGGAGGGTCAGTACTTCAACCCCTACTTTGTTGGAGGTGCTATCAGTATGGCTCAGGCCTTGTACAATGAAGTAAGTTAAAAAATCAAAATCAACAACAACCCGATGGTTCCCTCAATTTCAAAGGTGATTGAGTACTCTGATGGTACTCCTGCTACTGCCAGCCAGCTGGCGAAGGATGTGAGTGCGTTCCTGAAGTGGACAGCAGAGCCTGAGCATGACCAACGCAAGAAGATGGCCCTCAAGGTAAAATTTTTTCCTGCTAATTTGATTAAACATCCAACTTATATCCTTTTATGCAGGCAATCATGATGTTTTCGCTTCTATTCGGTGTCCTCTTCTACATCAAAAGACACAAATGGTCATCTTTGAAGACACGAAAGGTTGCTTTCAAACCACCCAGCCCAAAGTAGTTACATATATGTATGTACATAAACTCAAAAGAGAAATAATGTCAATGAAATAGAAACTGTTATAGCAGACTTGCATTTCTTTTAAAACCACAAATTCTGACTCCTAATTTCCACCTTTTTATTTTAAATTATAATGTTGCTCCGGAAAGGGACACTTAGGTGAGACTAATTTGTGGCTTTAAAAGAAACATCCCATTAAAAATGAGTAGGTCATTTCAATGTTTTAATTGACCTTTCGTAAAATAATGACCCGAAAAAGCCGCAATACACAGACAAGCTGCCATTAATTGACTATGAGTATGTACACGTCAGTTCATGCCTGTCAAATTTATCGTCTGCACTTCTAACATCTGTGTGGGTTGGTAAATAAATTGTTATGTTGGAAAATCTTAATAATTGTTTCTTAAAACAAGTATGAGGTATTTTAATTTAATGATACTTCATTTTTCTGTTTAGTTTTAAGTTGCATTACCTGCACATGGTTTATGAGGAAAAAAAATAATTGAGTTTACAAAGTTTTATGGGAAGTATTTACCAAAATCCATCAAAATCTTCATCAGATCCATCTTCATTGGCTGTGTCCCAATTGAGTTGGTCTTCTCTGATCATCATCTGGAAGCTGTCCTCGCTCGAACCATCCTCACTGTCCATCAGGTCATTATCGCCTTCACTGTCACTGTCCTCCAGTTCAGTGAATTCCGCAAAAGAGCTGTCATCCTTCCCCATCTTGACTTCACAAACATTCTTGAAGTAGACTCCGACACCTTGGACCAATTCGTTAAACCACTTGTGTGCCATCCTTATTTCATGAGGAGTAGATGATGCGTCCATGCTGTATGAGTGGAATTTGATTTTCTTGAGGTAAGGTGAACGGAAGATCAGTTTCTCTGCAACCTGAAATTCAAAGTCAATATTACGGTTTTCTCAGACTAAGAGATTGAAACCTACTTGAACCGCATGCTCAATCATGGGATCCTTGTACAAATCAATCTTGATTTTCTCCAAATTGCTCAAGCAGGTTGAGTTTTCTTTCAAAGCTTCTAGCAGGACTTTGATCTGGCCAAATGTTTTTAAGTGCAGAGTGCGGTTGTAGTTTTCACTCCCGAGAACAAAAAGCTTGAAAATCTTGTCCACCACCGAAATTTTATCATCTTCGTTGCCGTCGTCATATCCTCCAGTGTCATCTTCAATGTCAAATCTGAAGATTTATACGCATATTAGTAAATTTCAAAGCAAGAATAAGTGTGAATTTTTTACTTTTTCCAGTTTCTGAAATTCTTCAGTGGCAGTTTGGTACCATAAGATTCTTTCAGCTCTTCATCGCTTGATTTGTAAGAAAGCACTTCCAAATTTGGACAGAATTCAATTACGGTGTACAGGTTCATGTCGCCCAAAGGAGCTCCATCGCTAGCAAAGTCCAGAAACTCCAAATCCTTGATATGAGGTCCATGTGATTTGAGAATCGGGTAGACTTGATGGTATGGGACAGCATTGAAAATCAGCTCTTTAGGATGGTTGGGCATTGAGGACAATTTCTGGACAGTCAAGGCACTTTGTTCTCCTTGGACCTCCAGCTTCTCCACCAGCAAATTTGACGGCAAATCAATTTCAAACGGAGTGCGAATTCTGTTGATAATTCAATTAGTACGAAATGTGAAAATAATAATTGATCTCATACCTTAAATTTGTAGCAATGAGCTTTTTCTTAGGAAATAATAGTCCATACATCTGCACAAAGTCTTTGGTCATGTCGGGGCCCTCAAATGTGTCATTCAGTTGAAAAGTTTGCAAATTTGGGATGTTGCCAACACAATCAACGATGAGTTTCAAATCAACGCATTTATCTTCAGCTCCTGTTTTTAAGGAAAGATGTTTCAAGTGCTTCATTTTTGAGAAGTACTCGACTGCTTTCTCAGTTATTGTGTCCTTCGTCACAGAAATTTCCATGCCCCTGAAATAAATATTTTTATAAAAAAAACCTCAAATGGCATATATATTTTTACTCTAGTTTTGGAATGTGCTCAGAAATTTGTTGCAATTGCTCATCACCACACAGGAAGTTCTGGAATCCAAAATATTTCAGGTTTCTCCATTTGAGTAGGTCACCCATTGGAAATTCCTCGTTGCCACTGTGGAAATCAGTGCGACCTCTGATGATCTTGGTAATGTTGGGACAATGCTCAAGAATGTGATTGTAGTACATTCCGTACGTTGATCTGGAGTAAGGGTTGAAATCGTACGGGTTGAATTCTGTCAAGTTTTCATTGAGCAGCAGTTTGACAAATGACATCTCAGCATCTTTAGGTATCAGTCTGTTTGTGGTATATCTAGATTCTTTGATCATCTGGATAAACTCCTGGACAATCGTGCTTGCTGAAATTGGTATAATTTAATATTGTAAAATAATTATCATTATGTATTTTTATAAAGCTCACGTAAAAATCTCAATGGGTTTTCCACTCTGTTAAGGTATTTGTTGCAATTCAAGGAAATCGCCTTGATGGAGAGGATTTTTAATGAATCAGGTTTGGCCACAGCACGCCTTTTCCGCACAATTCTACTTATGGCGTCTTTGCGCTCGTCAGGGCTGCGGCAAAAAATTTTGTAAAAATTTATACATAAGCTTGTGAGAGAGTGAGCAGTTATTTTTATTTTTTACCTCATGTTTGCAAAATTGTTGTCCATGATGCTTTACTGGAGCGATATCTTTTACCATAAAAATATGAAGATCTCGAAGATCAACTTTTCTTGATTTTCAACAAAAAATCCAAAAAATCTTCTGTGAATTCTGGAACAAGAATAAAATGGAAAATTATCAAGCAATCTGAATGAGATTTACATTCTTAACATGTTTTAATTTAAATGTGCAAAGGAAATTACTCTCTCCGCCAAGATGCGTTGCTCAACTCAGTTGCACTTACCCGTTGTCTCATGAAAAGGAGCCAGAAAATTAAATCTGATTAGCGAAAGTCGCAAATAATGAGAACACAAAACCTCTAAAAAACAACGTGTTCCTCAGTTCTTGTGTTTACTGGTCCTTCGACTCCTTCTCCTCTTGTTCCTGATTGGTAGGATCCACCGGCTTTTCATATTAACCAATAGGAAAGCGGAATCACAAGGAACGCCCCCTTATCTGGATGCTCCTGCACCTTGCTCCTGCAGCTGCTGCGCAAGATGTTGATTTTCATTCCATTGTTTTGATATTTTTCTTCGATTTTGAAAATTGAGTTATAAAAGAAAAGGTTGGTAAGTTAAATATAAACTAACATGTAACAGTACAAAATTATTTCCCTCTTTTGAACTTCATAAATCCTGTAAATATAAATTTATTCTCAATATAAGATTTTAGAGCAAGCAAAAATTATGTACATTTTACAGTTTTTTGTTTTGTATCTGTCAATAATTATTTAAAAAAAAAATAAGATTTTTTTGTTTTCTCATAAATTTTCCAATATATTTCATTCAATTGTACACCTTGAATTATATTTTTACAGTGTCATCAAGACAATGTCAAGTGGGGTGCTGTTGGTGCGGGACTACAGACCCGGCGATGAAATCTCCTGCTGTGAAATCGTCCAGGAAGGCACCATGTCTACCGTCAACAGAGCCTTTGTGTCTGCCCTGATCAGGGAAGTGACCTTCCAGCTGATGGTGCTCGCCTCAGCCATCATGTTTATCTTCATGGGCCTGCCCTTGAAGGTAATAAAAACATTTTTCAACTCTGAAATATCCTATATAAAAGTTTTGTTCTGACAAATTAGGCCTGCTTGTATGTGATCCCCGGCGTGATTGTGTTCATGTACTTGGCGGTGTGGGGTGGCCACATGTTTAAAGCCCTTGAGCAACAACAGGACGTCCGCAATGTCCCCAGGATGTACATGAGCTCGGAGAACACAGGCTTCTGGGTGGCCGAGGTCTTCGAGCCATTCTTCAGTAATGGAGCCACAGGAAAACTTGCCCTGGTCAACGAGGCAGGCCTTAAAGGTTGCGGCCTTGACCTGACTAACTGCCGACGCGTTCTTGTGGGCACCATTGCTGTTAGCAAAAGCAAACTTAACCCTGAGCAGGGTGCTTGGATCAAGAGATTGGCAGTCAAGAACAAATATAGGTAAATTCAAATAGAATATTATGAAATTTAATGAATCTTAAATTTAAGAAAAACAAATTTTTTGCATGGAGAACGAATAAACTGAGATAATTTGTAGGCATCGAGGTGTTGGAACTGCTCTTTTGAACGAAGCCATCTCCTTTTGCCGCACAAGTGGATACCAGGAGGTCGAGTTGGTGACCTCTGAATGCCAAGACACAGCTCGAGAGCTCTGCTTCAAGCAGGGTTTTGATCTCAAGCAGATGTACCACCGCCCAGTGTTTGGTCCGCTGGCCACAATGACCATGTACCAGCTGCTGTGCCGTCTCCACTCGAACCAAGTCAAGAATTTGTAATCTTAAATGAGGGCTTCCTTGCGTACTTTTGACTTTATGAGATTTTGCATGATCTTGTAATTTATCGTAAACATTCTTTACTGCATTTACATAGACTAAGCTCTTATCTATAAAAATTTTGAATGTAGTTTTTAGAATTCAATCGAGAAAACTTCCAATTTAAATAAGCCAAATATTGTAAGACAAAAATTGTATCCCTTCACTCTTGAAGAAATTCTAAAACATTCGTCAGGTGATATTTTTAACATTTATTAATCGGGACACTTATAGTCCTTACACCATGTATACAGCCGTTTAAAACTTTTTAAACGAACAATAATTTTGAATAAAATATTGAATTTAGGACTAATTAAGCAGTCAAGTTTTTCTTCAGATTCAAACTAGCAATCCACGACGAACGCTCAACCGAGATTTTTCCACTAGATACGCTGACCTTGAGATCACCTTGGTCTTTTTCTTCTCTGCCAAACTGAGCAACGACTTTGCCATTTTCACTGAAAGTTTTTGCACCAAAGTCACCAGGAACGTCAACTTGGTCAGCACTGAGATGCACAAAATTTTTGTCCGTTTCCCCGAGCTGCACTCGGACATCACCTTGGGCTACTTCGATGTTGGAGTGACCGACAAGATTGCTGATCTGCACGTCGGCATTTCCCTGATTTATGACAGCTTGCAATCGCCCATCTAGGCCAGCTGAAACAGAAATTTAGTATTGAAGTAACTAAGACATAATTTTAATTTACCTGCGACAAGATTTCCTTTTCCTCTAATTTCCACCTTGCACTTTCTGTGCAGACTTCCAAATTTGATATTTCCTGAGTGTGTGGCTACTGAGGATTTGTCACAGTAGTCGGAGGCAATGTTGATTTGTCCGTTGTCACTTTCGACAGTTGCTGACGGGCCTTGAAGTTTTTGACATTCAACAGACTGAAATTTTTTAAATATTAATCTTCCAGAAAAAAATAAAAATGTAGAAACGTTGCCATACCCCTTTGGCTAAAGTTTTGATGTTTATTTTTCCCTGAAGCACTCCTTTGCTCAAAACTGAGCCTCCTTGAGTTGCGAGAACGATTTCGGAGCATCGAATATTTTTAGTGCGAATGTCTCCCGTTGTTGTGACTACGGCCAGACGATCAGAGTGGATTTCACTTACGGACACATCTCCGAAGCCATTGCAAAATGCATTTATGTCTGGAAAAGAAAAATTTTAATTTACAAAAAATATTAAAGAAATTTGTCGTACTGCTCTGCACAGGGACATGCACTTCAAGAGCTTTGTCGTCAGTGCCTCCGTGGACGTCTATGTTGAAAGTGTTGGGAGTTGCTTGGACAAGTTGCAGAACAGTTCCGTCCTCTTCCTCATTTTTCAGCAGATAGACAAGCAGACGGTCACTGTCAGGGTACTGCTGAAGGTCTGCTGGACACACCAGCACCGGACAGTCGGTCGAGTTGATGGTCACGTTGGACAAGGGAGGCACCTTGCGTTCGGTGACTTTCTCAACGACTTTCCAAGAACTGCTGATGCCGCTGCTGTTTGAGGCATTTTTGTTGGTGGAAAAGAGATTCGCAGATGACCAAAAGCCTCTTCGGCAGCCACTGGCGAGTTGCCGTGTCAGGAATCCGGTTGACAACAGCATTTTTTCTGAGAAAATAATGACACTTTTTAGATGGAATGCTTGAGGAGTTATTAAAATAAAATTTGATAAAACAAAATTATAACATACTAAAAACCGTTCAGACTGGTTCAGACCTTTATTATAAGTCTTTTGTCATTTACATAATTATATTAAACACATTTACAGAACTAATGCACAAACAAGGTCTATAAAATAATGCAATAAATTATTCATGCATTTTCAATTGTATTTACCTGAGACAATGAAAGTAAAATGAGGTAATTTGAGACCTACAGCATTTGTGCGATCTGTTCAACTTTGTTTGTTTTGTTTATTCCGATTTGGATCAGCTCCGGAACGCCCACTGCCACCACCTCTTTACGCTTTTCTACACCGTAGTGCTTTTAAAGAACTAAAGAACAAATCGAACGCGCTGGCCAAACCGAGTCATAATATTGAAAGTTGGATTCTTGGTGAAAATTAAGAAATTTAATTTTTTTTTAGTTTCAAGAAGTGTTTATTGGGTTCGAAATTAGGGCAACTATGCCCCATATATGAACTCATCCAAATAAATGCAAAACAAAAATTTTAAAACAAAAATTTTTTTATTCAACCGCGATTTTTTTTAACTTTTATTGTTCAGGCGCATCAAAGAACTTTAATCGAAGGCCAAACCGAGTCAAAATTGAAAGTTGGATTCTTGGTGAAAATCAAAAATTTTAATTTTTTTTTTTTATTCAATCGCGATATTTTTTTTTAATTTTTATTGTTCAGGCGCATCAAAGAACTTCAATCGAACGCGCTGGCAAAACCGATTCAATATTGAAAGTTGGATTTTTGGTGAAAATCCATGGGAGATCTGACGCAAAATTATGCAGCGCCGCCGAACACCGCTATGATAATAATTCTGCACACGGCTGATGTTAAAAAATAATTCAACTTCTACTGGTGTTGAAAAATAATAAATAATTTTGTATAAATTATGCACAACATATTTGATCTGCATTTTTATTTAATCGGTCGACGACCAACCTACAGCAAGCTTTAATCCTCAATTACATTATGATAGGTTACCGAAGCAACGAGTTTGTTTACTTGTTACACCGGCCAGCCCGTATCTTTACTCTGAAAGAGCAGAAGTATGGACGAGCACCAGGAAATAGATTTCAGCAGCTTAAAATCCTATTCTGATGGGTATTTTGTTCACAAGCATCACCCAAGTTCAAAGTTCTATTCACCATACGAGTTAATGTGCGTGTAAAAATGCAAAAAAAAAAACTACTTAGGCGCAATTAATTTTTTCACCTTTGGTTTCAGTGAAACAGTGTTTGCAAAGCTCGACAACAATCTTGATTATTTCACATTCAATCAGTATGGCTTGACAAGGTTCGCACCGGATTGCCTGCCAGAGCTCATACCTCACGAGAAGTGGGAACGAGAGAAGCAAATTTACAACAGTTTAAAAAAGGTGCACAATAAAAAATTTAGTTGCAGATTGATATTGACATAAATTCCTTTTTATTTTTTTAGCTGAAACTCTTTGCAAATTTTTTAAAATGGAAGGCATTATTTAAGTGGAAAAAGAGCGTGATGATCACCAAGTTCAATCATCTTTACAAAAGCCTACAATCAAAAGTGCTTCTTTTGGACAAAACACTTGGATCTGCAATTTTGTCATGCCGAGAAATTTTCTGCAAGCTGGAAATGATGGGGCTCGGCAAAAGTCTCCAAGACACGCCACTAACTTTGCAAAAATTAATAGACGACCAGGTCTGCTCATTATTGGAAAAAATACAATTTGAAATTTATTTATTTGTTAAAATGGCTTATAGATAGAAAACTTGAAGCAGATACGGAGCTTGAGTTTAGTTTTGAGAGAAACCATTCAAGACCAGCTAATTGCAACTTGTAAATATGTCATCAACTCTCAAGGTTTGCCACCAACTGCCTCCAGCACCAGACCAAATTCAGTGCTTTCGTCTGGTAAGTCTGCCTAATCCTTTGAACTTTGTTATCAATAAATTATTTTTTAACATTTTTTTGTGAGGGAAAAATAAGATCGCCTTTTTTTATTATGGAGTAAATCTCAAATTTATAGCCAATTTTATCAAAGTGGTGAATTATATAAAATTTTGCAATAGAATATTGAGGTGCTGAAATTATTACATTAATAAATTTTTTGTTACTAATAAATCAGGAAGTGGAGGCCAATTTAAAATGAAAGAATCAAGACAATCGCTGTCCTACGCAGATCAAGAAAAGAGAGCGGTGGTTAGCGCCAGGCTGGCTAGGTACTTCAGAAACTCTTTAAAGATTGATAAAAAAAAAATTTAATTAACAGATTTGTGAGACTGGTGGATTGTCTTTTGCAACACACATTGCACTCCATCCTTTTGAAGTCGTTCAGAATATTCGTCAACACAATTGAAGATCGATTTCAGGCAAATTTAAGATTCGACGGAGAAAAATTGGTATTTCTATTTTGCATTTCTATGGTACTTTATTATTGTGCTAATTTTCTAACCGACAGGCATGCTTGTGCACGATAGAAGTTTCTATCGTAGATGGAGAAATTGCGTTGTCTCCATCAAGACTTGACACGACAAACAGTTTGAGGAGATTATTTCAGGCTTGGGAAGACACAGTAAATGCTTTTGAATTGTTTTCTAATGACCAGCTGCTAGTCCCATACCTAAGGTAGGAACTATAATCACTCATATATTTTATTTAAAAAAAAAAAAGTATAATCCAAAATAATTTAAATCATCATCAAACCATTTTATTAGAGAGAATTCTTGCAATACAAACTTGCTGGAAATCATAACGAGCGATGAAAGTATCTCACAATACAAAATCCGTGTTCTGAACGTTTTGGAAGCCAACTTTGATGAAGTGAACAATTATATATTGCGATACAACAATGTAAAGGAATGGCATTCAGCAAATGAAAAAATCACGTTTGATGATGTCAGCATGCAAACTGGTATAACACAGACTTAAAAAGTGCTCTTTTTTAATTCATTTACGTGTTCTATTATAGATTTACAATTTTTTGAAAAAATACTTCAAGATTTGCAAGAGCAAGTAGATGAAATTGAGAAAATTGATCAGGTTAAAGTTGTTGGAATATTTGAAATTCGCATGGAAAGTTTAAAGTCTGTCGTTGTTCCGTGTCTTATGGAATTAAAAACCTTTACTGGCGCACTCCTTCCAAAGTAAAATTATCAGTTAATAACAAATAATGTAGAAATTTATTGATTTAATTAAATTTAGGATTAGCCGGCAAAAAGTGATCAAACTGTCCTCAGAAGTTCAGGATGCCCAAGCCTTTTTAGAACTTTTACCGAAGAACACATCAAACTACGTCGACTTTCTTCATTACTTTGACAAAACGGTTACAAAAGTAAGTGCCTCAATTTTATATTTAATTTTCTCACCTGAAAAATTGCATGTATAGCTTCCGGATATGAGAAACGAAATAAAATACATTTTTGAGCTGTTTCAAATCATGAAAAATTTCAATGTTCCGTGCACAAAAGAAGACGTCACGTCGTTTACGGTAATTCAAAGATTTTACTTTATGAAAAGTCATAATTTTTCATGTGAAGGTCTTGCAAACAAGTCTTGCGTCGCTGGAAACTATAATTCAGAAAAGGGAAAAGCAGCACTCGGAAATCGTGTTGCAATTTGAGAAGTCCATAAACAAAGACTTTGTGCAGCTTTTGAGCGAAGTGAAAGCAGTGCAAAACGCTGCAAACGTACGTATTTATTGGGCAACTCGCTCAACACCTGAGTCGCGCAGGTTGCAGATTCTCGTATTCCACAGGCGCTACTTTTTAATTTAATTATTGTTCAATTTTTATAATGGAAGGAGCCGATATTGCTAGACATTGATTCCGATGCAGAAGAGGTGCAATTAATAATTTCCCAACTCCGCTCCAAACTCTGTGAAATCGAGAGGAAAAACGACTACTACCAATTGCAAAAGCAGCGGTTCAAAGTATGAAAAGCTAGGAAATTGATATTTTTTAAATTTTAATTATTAGATTGATCTACGGGAGTGTCACGAACTGCCACTTGCTAGACAATCTGTCGAGCTGAGAAAACTGTTGTGGGACAGCATGGAAACCTGGTCGGCTAAACTGGAGGATTGGGAGACTCAACCGTTTCAAATTATTACGTCTGGCGAGTTGGAGGAGTTCATCTGTAAAAATGAACAAATAATCGAGATAACTCGCAAAGGACTGCCTAAAAATAGTGTAGAGCAGAATTACCAAGAGAGCGTTCAGCAAATGCGGGCAAAGGTTTGTTGAATGAAATGAAATTATTAAAACCTGAAATATTTTTTTGCAGATACCGTTGATTAAGCATCTGAGGAACGATGAACTCAAAGAAAGGCATTGGAAAGCAATCGGCTCTCTGGTCAAGCAAAATATACATTCTCACGCAGACTTGACTTTGCGGATTTTGGATGATATTGATATTTTTGCACATTTCCCTGAGCTGGAGGAAATTTCGAAGCGAGCCACAAATGAGGCCCAACTGAAGGAAAATTTAGAGAAGGTTAAATCTGATCTTATTTAATTACAAAACAAGATGTTAACAATAAAATCAGGTGACGGCAACTTTGGAAAGTTTGGAATTTGAACTGAAAGTTCACGGTGAATCTTATTTGATCGTGAAAAATGAAGAGTTTGATGCAAAAATGAACGACGCTTGCATTGCGATTGGGGTTATCGCTAATTCAGCGTACGCAGAGCCAATTAAAGAGATTGTTGAGGAAACCAGGGAAAAATTTGATTTGTTCCTACGCACTCTGGTAAAGGACATAACCTCTCTTACATTTTTTTTATAATTATATACTATATATTTTTCTTCATATTTAGGATAAAATTTTAGAGTATCAGAGTTTGTGGCTTAAAATAGAATCCGTTTTTGCAAGCGACGAAATTCGCATGAAACTGCCGATGGCATTTAAATTCTTTTTAAAAGCTGCAAGTGTTTGGGAGATCATCATGAAACGCGTTTATGAAGTAAATAATCCAATTCCAATTTAATTATGTCCTTCATTGGTTTATTCTAGACGACGTCAGCCTTGCAGGCTTGCATAGGATGCGGAATTTTAAGTCTTGCACAACTAGGCTTGAACATTCTAAAGCAGGTTGAAGACAGTTTATTACAATTTTACAAGCAGAAGCGAGCTTTGTATCCACGATTTTACTTCTTGTCAGACAACGAGATGTTGGAGTTATTGGCGAAGGTAAGAATTAAATGAAAAAATTTCAAAATAAATTGCAACTGAAACTAAATTTTAGGCAAAAAGTCCTCACTCGATAATTGAGTTTCTACCAAAAATGTTTTCTTCTGTGC